GCCTAAGACCTACGTGAGCCTAAGAAAATAATTGGTTATTTTTTTTTCGTTCTGCAGATGATTCATACGAAAAGGAAAACATACCAATAATATTTTTAGGCTCGCTTAGGCCGTAGGCCAAAAATTAGGCCGATTATTATTACCCTTTGCCAAGACAATTTGGATGTCCACACATTCTAGGATGACTCATCTGTCTCATTCACTTTTTGAAGTACACATAACTCTCGGATTTAAATCCGAGGTTTCCGCATTTATTTATTCATTGGTTAAGCTAAAACCTTTAGGATGTTGTATTGTGTCTGAAACTTGTCTATGGATAAAACTTTAGATGGAAATCTTATAATGAAGGTTTCTGAAAGGATGTTTCCTAGAGAAGGAAAATTTCAATATAAGAATGTCATAGTAACAGAAAAACTGATTTTCCGAATATCGATGATCTTAACGAGAGTAGTTTTGTTGTGAAAGTGTCAGATCTTTTGATTCGGTTCTATCTTGAAATTCGAATATTAAATCATCTAGTTTACGTGAGCGGTCTACAAGACACACTATCAATTCGAAATTTGAAGATCATTTTTTCTGTTAACACAACATTCATTTAAAAATATTCTTTTAATTTAGTTTTTATTAAATCTTCAAATGTTTCTTCACAAGTATCATTAAATAATTCTTTAACTTATATTCATACAATAAGTATTCGACAATCGATAATTTATTTTATTTGGTTCATGTTATGCATCAAGTATAAATAGTGCAATACGAGAGTAAAATAAACAAAAAAAAAAAATGAATTTGATCCCCAGGTCGAATTCACCCTGTCGAATCCGATAGAAATTCGCCGGAATTTGTCGGAATCCTAACCACAGGATTCCGACAAGTGGTTCTGGATGTCGGAAAGTGTCGGAGTTTCAGGGATTTCGCAGGATCCTGATTATTCCGACATCCGGAACCTCCTGTCGGAATCCTGTGGCTAGGACGCCGACAACTTCCGACGAGTTCCCGTCGGATCCGTTAAAATCCGGTAATTTTTCCGATGTAATCCGATATAATCCGACGTAATCCGATATAATCCGACGTAATCCGACAGTCGGATCGAATCACCTGGGATATCTATTCTGTTTTTTTGTTTTCTATTTTAGAGTTTTTATTGAACTAAAAAAAAATTAGTCTTAAAAAATATATTAATACAAATGAAAGTGATTTTCAAGCTGCTGTACTCGATTTACTTGTTCAATTACTTTTAATTCGTGTTAATTATGATTAATTAGAAGCTGATGACATTCATTGCATTTCTAATCGTTTCGTTTATTTTTAAATAGCATATTATTTATTGTATTGCTGAATTTCTTGTTATGTTATCACATGATACACTTCATTCAAAACGAGTTATTAAAATACAAGATTTAATAAAACATTATGATTCATTATTAGCAAGTGGACATGAATCTGAAACACATGGTAGGAAGCAAAAAAAAACATTTTCGAGGGTGTGAATTTGTAGATGTAATTTTTCTCCTCGATTGAACCCACACCCACACTTCAACGAATCGATGATCTGAAAATAATCATCTTGTTGATGGCCAGAACTCAACAAGATTTAGAGACAGTAATCTTTAGTTATGTATTTGAGTTTGAAGGAAAACTAGGCGTCTTAATTATTAAAAAATACAAGTATCTTTTCATATCATGTGTATTTACTGAAAAAATAATAATAGAATTTATATTGTTATAGGATTTACGATTGTTCACAGTTATTGTTAATAGTGTTCAAATTGAAGATGATAAATGGAAACGTCTTTCACGACAAATTGTCGATTTACTTCTTGCTCATTTACAATCTCAGGTTATTTGTTTGTTTTAATAGTCTCTGATTTGGCGTTACTTTTTTTTTTGTTCAAATATGATCAATCACTTTTGGATATTTATTCCACACAATTAACACTATTTGATGTTGTCTTATCAGTTGCATTACGATCAATTGATCCATTTGTTATTGCTTTTCGAGCATTCGTAAATAGAAATGTCCGTTGTTTTTATTTATAAAATTTTTCTGTAGTTTAAAAGTTCTTTTTAGAATGTTAATTGTCAATCTACAAATCGATAATTAATCAATATAAATATAATACTTCGATATCTTGTACAAAATTTAACTGAAGATGCTATATTAACACGATAGAATGATGTTTTATTATCAGTTAATGGAACACAAGATGAAACTTTTAGTGCGTACGTATTCGAAATGACTTTATTTATAATTTAACAAGTATTATTCTCGTTTTTGTTTTCAGAACTCTTCTTCGAATTTTAACTAATACTCGACAATTACGTGATCAAATCGATATGACATTAGTTTCTCTTGCATCCGATTATCTTTATATACTTATGTATATTATGGACTAACTGAACAGATAAAAACTGGTTTCTATCAAAGTCAAAAGAGCTTAAGCTTTCATCATAATCTATATGATAGTAACATATTACCCATTAATTTGAAGATAAAACATTCCTGCTATTCATTAATTATTAATGAGCTAGCGAAAAACTTTTGACTTTAAAATTCCTATGCTTATATAAGATCTATAATTTTATTTTGGCTAAACAATTTCGAACAATTGTAAATGATTTTCATCAATTATGAATTCATGATGAAACTGTCCATTATCTTAAAACATTTTCATTTTTAACTATTTTAAGCGAATGTTTTAAATTATTATGATTATCATTTTATATCTCATTATTATTACAATGGACACATTCTGAATATGCTTGATTATACACAAGAAGAATGCTGGTCATCGATATTAACACCATCATCATCAAGAATACATTTATCTATCAGTGGTCAATTACAATCTTATTGTGATTTAATATATCATCATGAATTATATGTTGAACATTTTACATCAATAACAACACATTATCAATTATTATTATTATTTTTTATTTGATCTTATACATCATACATCAGTTGCAAGTCATTTTTTTTTGTGAAGGAATAGATTTAGATGAAAGTGGTCTTCTATTAGTTTTATTAATTGAACAATTTCTTCCATTACCATTAAATAAACAATTATGACATAAATATATACTATAAATTTTATAAATATTATCAATAACAATATCAATCGATATGATTAAAGAAGAGTTTAATAATCTTAATTATCTTATGGATATAACAAGAAAAATTTATGCACAAATGCTTAAAAATGTAACTTATAAAACAGGATTACCATTTATGATGTCACCGGTATGTATTAGTTTAATTTATCGAAATAAATATATATATGTATAATAAAAATTTTAATCCAATTAAAAGAAATTTTTGTTTTTACTTTGACATTGTTTGTGTCAGTAATAGATGAGACTTTTGAATAATTCAAAACTTCGAAAAATATTTTGGAATAGAAAATATGCAGAATTTCAGGTAATACAAATCGTAAAGGAAAGCATTTAAGCTACATTAGTACAATGACCGAATAATTCCTCTCGAATCTTATTGATCAAATTCTCAGTCGTGCTATTTGTACTGTTACAATTAAAGAAAACGACGTCTTTCTAAGATTATATTTCGTAAGATATTTTCGATTGTGTTATTTATTTGCAACCAAAAATAATATTTCGAAATAAATTGCATTCGAGAATTTCGACAAACTTTCTATAAGTTTGAACTCGTGAACTCCGAAAACCTGTTGGCTTTTTTCCACAGCATAAAATTTTTAGGTTGATTCTTATAGTAAATGAAAATTGATTTGAGAAAATAAAAAACAATATAAATCTGTTCTTTGTTTGTTTTCCTAGGATTTTGTATCATTATATCAAATGCATCTCATTGTCTTATCCTTAGTATTTTATCAACATAACGATTAATGTCAAATGAAACAAATTAAAATGACATTGAAACAACACCTAATATAATTTATGTAAAAAGTCTTTTATCATGCTTCTAATAATCAACTATATTCAATTGCATTAATAGATTCTATATCAATATATTTTGATAAAATACAAAATCATGTTGAATTAACATGTCAATTTTCAACAGGTGATATACATGATTTATTACGTTTTATAATATTAATATCAGAAAAAATTTATATAAATATATATATCATATATTTATTGACATGATTTACGTTGCATAGCTATATTATTATTTTTGTTTACCAATATTTAATTCATGTATACATATATCAAGACAATTTTGAAGTTGGTTGATTATCAAGAATACAATTTCAAGAAATATAGACTTCATTTTTAGCTTCAATTAATCCACCATAAATCAATCTAATGATGAAAATAAACAAACAAGAAATAATTTTAAAAAAAAAAGAAGAAACTTTAGAAATAAATGCAACACAATAGTAACAAGATTGAAAAATAAACTAGATTTTATCTGTTCTTTTTTTATCGGTGGTCAATATATGCAAACACGTTCAACATTAGATACAAGTTTAAATAATTTATTTACAAATATTGAACGGTTACGTACACGTGATTTATTATCCTATGAACAACTTTCATATGATAGTATATTAACATCAATTCAAAGTAATAATACATTACCATTATCAGTTTTGTTAATATTGAATATTCAACATAAGTGTATACAGAACTCTAAGTTTAAGAGAAAGATAAATTCATTGCTAAATTATTAATTTCATCAAACAAAAAATCTAGTGTTTCTCTGGCTTTGATTTGGCTTATATCAATAATTTCAAATATATTCTATCAATAAAAAAATTAGAGTATAAACATTTCCTTCGCTGGTATCCACCTTTAAAATATATATAATTTAGAGTTTATTTGATCGCTTATTTTTTCATCATGGTTTTGATTTAACATTATCTTTACAAATTCTAATTGAAATATATGTAATATGAATTAATAAGTTCATTTATATATGTATCTGATTTATTTACATCATCACAACATTTATCATATTTATATGATTTATGTGATGAATATTTTCGTACATGGTTTAATGAATAAGTTATAATTTATGTAAATCTAGTATATTACTTGAACAAAAAACAAAAGAATATAATGAATTATATATACATTTAATTGAACGTAATTATAAATTAATAATAAAGATGATTTAAATAAATTATTAATTCCAATAATAATACAAGAATTAAATAATGATATATAAAATAATAATTTAAATTCATATGATATTTTATTATCATTAATTAAAGATGATAATTTAACACAAAAAAAATTCTATCAATTAGTCTTGAAAGATTTTTAATAGTTGGTCAATATCCTAAAAATGATATATGGCGTTTATATGAAATACTTGCACGTATTTATACATTATTACAACTACCAAATGAAAATACAAATTCCTTAAATAATGAACATGTTAATGAAGAACAAGAAATGATTGATAGTTCATCAGATAATATTCTTATTGCACTTATTGCAGAATTATATGAACATACTAAACAAATTATCAACATCACCCTATGAAGCTTTACTTTTATTACATCTTTTATCATTATTACTTGCACACATTAGTTTATCGGGTCGTTTAATGAATAAAATGGTTTTAGAATTTGTTGCATCAACATAAAAATTATATTCTCAAATACTTCCATATACAGTTTTTGCTTTTTTTCGTGCTTTAATTAATACATGTTATTCAGCTAAAGTTAATGAATGGACTTTATTATCAATGACAAATATTACACAAAGAAAATCAATAGGTATGGCTATATAGGTGTTAACTTGTCTTATGTTCAATGCACATAGAATTGCTGATGCATTGTAAGTATTTACTTAAATCATTGATCCTTGCTAATTTTTTTTTCTTAGTTCTTTATATTAATCTTTAAAGAAAAAAAAATTTGTATTAAAATTTCATACTGATGATTTAATAGTGAAGTCGTATTTGAACTGTTGGATGAGCTATTTTTTTTCATCTATGGTAAAATATTCTTCCCAGTTTTCTTTTTAAAAATTATCAAAACTTACACGTACGATTAAAATTTATTTGGAAAAGATAAATAGTAAAATATTAATGAAAAAAAAAACTCTTTGTTGCAATCCGAAGGAATAACGATCAATACAAAATCAATAAATTTCGCCATGAAATGTCAAAATGAATTTTCATAGATAATATGGTATACATTTTACTTTTTTAGGTTTTCATTGATGTTATCACGTTTCAGTGATCATTTTGAAGAATTAAACAATCGTTTATTTCTTATTGCTGGTCGAGAATATTATCTGCAGATATTATAAAAGAGACAAAAGAAAAACTCCAAATATTAATTGTATGAAAAAAAAAATCTATTTTACTTATTTTAGTTAACGAGTATTGAACAACGGCGTCAATTTGAACAAGCATTAATAAATGAATCGAATCCAAAAAAGTATATGCTGATTTACTTGCACACATTCAAAATACGATCTTATCATTGTCTTGGGTGTGAGTGTAGATGTTGTTTGGATATGTTGATGGATCGATACTCTCTCTCATCCATACCCACCCACATCCTCAATAAAGACTAAAAATATCGATTCATAAAATGAAAACATATCAACAAGATCCACAAAAACCATAAGTCTCATTTATTTTGTGCATTTGTGCTCTAATTTCTGTTTGGCTTGTTAATTTGTATTTCATATTGTATGTTTCATTATGATTTCAACCATTGATTTAACTAGTAAATAAGTCGATTAAAGTATTCACAAACATATTTCAGCCATTAAAGTTTCAAGAAAGTCTTTAAAATGTTTTAGAATAGTCTAAATCTGGTTGATAATGTCATTCAGTGCCTTTTCTGTTGCCATTATTTCTCCTTTTACTAGGAAAACCATGCTCATTGGTCTCTAATATTTAAATCATGTCGCTGGAGTCTAAGAGGAAAATGCACAAATCTCAATTAAAACTTGCATTTATAACCAGTACTCTTTGAATCTTTTTGATTTAGTATATTATATGTAAAAGCATCTACCATACTTCATCCTATTGAACTTGCTTGCTGAAAACCCGTTAATAATGATAAATTTAAAAATTCTCGAACTACAATCGTTTCTTTTTATTCAAATAACAATTCTTTTTTTCTTGATTTATTATTCGTACTTTTTATTATTTTGTTATCAATACAAAAAAAACTTTTAATAATAAAGAAAAAAAAATTGAATATTTTAATGTCAAAAGCAATTCATCATTATTCGTTCATCTCACCTTTATATATTAGAAAATATGAACATTAGTGTTTTCTTGTAAGATGACAATTCGATTATCGTTGGGCAGTATTCAACAGTAACTATCCGAAACGGAATCGAACCGTCTTCTACTAGTTCGAGTTCAGTTCGATGCCTGACAGACATGGCATTGTTCTATAAAGTTATTTTAGATTTTAAATTTCTGAGAATTTATTTATGAAAATTATAAACTTTGGTAAGTTCCAACTCAACAACACAATCATCAAAATACATGACTTCAGAAAAAAATAGATCATTAATAACGAAAATCCGATCATCACTATAGAATATTCTGTAAGAAAATGGTCGCACCATACTCCTGTTACATTCTAAAGATACTAAAAGATTTGTACACACATCTAGGTTAAACAAGCAGACAATAAGATCTCACAAGAATTCTACAGAGCGTTTTAATGTAAAATGTGTTAGGTCACCATTCTAGTATGATTTCAGCTGATCTTACAAGATAAAATACTTTAAAGATTTTATATTTACTTATTCAGTTCTCCAAAATGACTAATATCTGTTTATGGTAGATGTCGTTGTCCCAATGAATAGCATGATGCCGAATCTTGTTCTATTTTCATTACTGAGAATAGAAGAGACGATTAGTAGCTTATGAACGAGCTGATGAGACGAAAGATGATCGTATTCTTCAAAACTTTTTTCTCATAATCGACTTTCATGATTTAAATTTTGTGTTCTAACTTACGTAACTTTGCTTCAAATATTTTTTTTGTCGTTGAAACAGTAAACTTTGCACACATGTGACGAAATAAAATAAAGAAACTTTTTTCCGTAAAATTTAATTTGAACAGAGAGATATGCAATAAGATGTGAGTTTCTGGTTCATCTACAAATTCATACACCCTATTGTCTATGAATTATGGTTAGAATAGAAAAAATCTAAAATAAATATTGTTTTCGAACTTTTGTTTTCTGTTCCAACTGATTCTAGCCATTCTAAATCCGATCAGAACTGCGTTTAAGTAAGTCAAATGATTGAATTTATAGTCGGACTTTAATTCTCATCAAGTAACATAAGTTATCGTTATAATCTTCATCTTTTTTCCCTAGAGAAATGTTTCTTTTTTTCGATTTTCGGATTATTATCAATTTAGCTTACTTTTTATTTCAACAAGGAAGTCGTTGCAAATTCGTCCAGACTAAGAAAATATTTTCCCATAGTTACAGTTAATTGCCTCCCTCTTTTGAATAGATCAATCAATCTCATCTGCATTTTTCAAGCTAACTTTGTTTTATTGAAATATCAGGTTACTCGATTTCTGTCAAAATGGCTTTCTCCAATATGTCATTCCCTGAAGTCACATTTTCGCAGACATTCGCCATCGACGAAATTTAGAAACTCTAGATATTATTAGTTAAGTCTCCAAATCTTAAATAAATATATTTCTTCCGAATAAGTGCAAATTTAGATAAAATTGAAACTGGCTTGTATCACAAATATTCACTCTGTTCTTTAATTAACATTAAGAAAATCTTGTATTTCTCACCAAAAAAAAAAACAATTTCTTACGTTTGGATATTTTGAATATAAATTTCCCAAAAGTTATTCAAAAGAAAAAGAGGATTTTGCAAGGTTACAATCCTTAAAATGATGATGATGCTGAAACCTTGCGGAACGCTGGTAGAAGTAGTTAATAGTTATGTCATTGGTTGTTTTAAAAACTATGCATTGAAAACAAAAACAAAAACATGTCTGTTAACTCCGACTGAAGTATTCGCTAGTCAAAGAAACATTTGAATTATAGCAGTATGTAGAGGTGTAAGCCGTGCGGCTGAGCCGCCGCCGCCGCCGATTAACGGGAAAAATTTTAAGCCGCCGCCGCCGTGACGGTCGAAATTTTAAAAATTTATAAGCCGCCGCCGCTGAGACACTTTAGTTCCAGCCGCCGCGCCGCCGAGGGTATTCAGAATTTTCAAATTTTTGAGCCGCCGCCGCCGACACCGTTCATAAACATCGACAACTTTTTAATCCTTTTTTCCTTAATTTTGTATGGGTTAAAAGTTTCAAGTAATCATTTCACTTGTTAATGTCTATAACATTATAAATAAGTAAAGACCAGTATTATAAGTTTCGATTAACAAAAACAAAATCAAGCAACAGACTTGTGTGTGCTACGTCGTTCTACTTATTAACAAACTCGGTGACGGTTTTTCATCTACTATTTATCCTGGTGGTTATATTTATTTTTCATTTATTTGTATTCTCAGTGGTTGTATTATTTTTTTCACTTATTAATAATCCTAGTGATTCCAGTTTATTCAGTAGCAATTCAAGTTATATTTCCTACTCAAAGTTTGACGGTTTTACTATGTATTGATGATTTTGGTAATTTTTATTTATCATTATTTTTGGTGTTGCTTTTTCAATTTTCAGAAATTTGTAGGTGCTGTTTATTGATAAATAAATAATTCTGTTTGTTTTGTTCATTTTTAGGTTCATCTTGCAGTTGAAATGACAAATATATTGTGTAAACAAAAACTTTTTTATCGAGATGAACCTACCTAATGTACCAAAACCATCGTTCGTCTGGAATCATTTCGGTTATTTGTACAAAAATACCGAATTAGTTAGCCGATAATTAACATGTTTATTGCAAAATTTGGTTTCACAAATTGAAAAACGATCAAGCTGATATTACTTTTTTCAATTAAAAATTTTATTGGTATTTATAGCAATATAAGTGGTACAGGAAATGTGAAAAATCATTTAACGGTCTACGAAAACGTTTTTGGACAAAGTGTTTGTTCATTTTTTTCTCTTATAAAAGTATTCTAGTCGAGTGAAAAAAGAGTGATTATGACCAGAATGATGTGGTCTTTCCAGATATAGGCTCATAAATTGTGTACCTATTGTTGCTCTAGAATAAGTACGGAGATCTCTGAAAGGTCTAAAAACACAGTTTGGACACATCAATTATTCAAAAGTTTCTCGACAATATTTGGTTCATATTTTATTGGCTTAAGTGTTCTAGATGAATGAAAAACTTTAGATTAGGACTAGAATTCCGTGCTCTATCCGAATATAGTCTGAGGGATTGTGTATCTGTTCTTGTCATAGAGTAGTGAGGAGGTCTTTGAATGTTCTGAAAAAGTTATGTCAGTGGCAAATAAAAAAGCTTTTGTGACCTTCGTATGTTTCTTTAGAAAAGCGCTAAAAATGGTTCAACTTGCAAATGTTGTAGGACAAATAATTCTTTATAAAATGTTATGGCGAACTAAAATGTACCCTT